ATCAAATGACAAGGAATGTTATTTTGCACTCGTTTATGTGCGCATATTTATCATGTTTATAGATCGGTTACAAACCCAAAACTAATTTACATAATGGAAATCTAGGCGATAGCAATACATCGGAGTGACCTCAAGGTCATCGCGATGTAAAAATAGAAAATGACTTCATAGTCAAGGCTAAAGGTAAACAAAAAACCTTCATCAGCAAAATTTTATATTGGCAAATTTCCAATGAAGTTTATTATACTAAAATTGTTGGCAAATTTCCAATGCATTTATTAACAATAAAGTTATTGGCAAATTTCCAATTTACATAATTTAAAAGCAGTGTAAGTGAGATATTTAATTGAGTTTGAATTACCAACCTTACACTGCTTTTAAATAATGTTTTGTACTTATTTGTCTATTAACCTGGAAACCCTTGTTTTTTCACCTTTTTTTCCCTTATTATTTAAAGGTTTGAGCCATAACCCTACCCCAAAGCCAATTCTTAAATTCCAATGTAACCTAAATTTACAATATACATAACTTCAATTTAAGTTTTTGATAAAATCAAACCACATCATTATTATTTGCTTTTATATCTAAATCAGAAATAATTAACCAACTTTAAGTGGAAAATTTTCACACATCACGCCCCCCCAAACTCAATCCCAGCCTTCAGTTTGTGGTATGGTACCTTGCAGTACAATTTCACAGAGATCCAATTACTTAAACACAATTAATTGTTGGAAACTAAAAAAAAATGCTTATTTTTAACCCCTTATTCCTAAACATTTGAGCAATTATCCCCCAAACTCAATTCCAACTTTCTCTTTGTGATCAGAATTAACCAACTTAAAATGGAAAATTTTAAAGAAAAAAAAAAGGAAAAAAAATCCCCCCCCCCCAAAATTTTTTGACCCACTTCCCTTTGTGGTATGGTACCTTTAAGTACAATTTCAGAGAAATCCATACACTTGAACACAAGTTAATGTCTGGAAACTAAAAAAATGCTTATTTTTGCCCCCTTTTTTGGCCACTGATTAATAAATGTTTTGGGCAAACATTTTACAATAATATTTAAAACTGAAATTAATTTGTAACCTTAAAATTAAATAGAAAATGACATCATAGTCATAGCTAAAAATAAACAAACTATTGGTAAATTTCCAATATAAAATTGGCAAATTTCCAATGAAGTTTATTATACTAAAATAATTGGCAAATTTCCAATTTACATAATTCAAACATAGTGCAGGTGAGATATTTAAATGAGTTTGAATTACCAACCTTACACTGCTTTTAAATAATGTTCTTTACTCAATTATTTGTCTATTAAAATGGAAACCCTAGTTTTTTAACCTTTTTTCCCCTTATTCCTTAAACGAAAAAAAATAATTACCCCTTTTTTGACCCCCCCCTATGATTCATCACCCCCCCTTCCCCCCCAAACCAAGCTCAATAACAGCCTTGCCTTTGTGGTATGGTACCTTGTAATACAATTTTAGAGAGATCCATACACTTGAACACAAGTTATTGTCTAGAAACTAAAAAATGCTTATTTTTCACCCCTTTTTAGGCCCCTTATTACTAAACGTTTTGGGCAATTACCACAATACTCAATTCCAGCTTTCTCTTTGCGAAATGGAACCTTGTAGTAAAATTTCAGAAAGATCCATACACTTACACACAAGTTATTGTCATGAAACTAGAAAAATGCTTGTTTTTTGCCCCCTTTTGGCCCCTTATTCCTAAAATTTCGAGGAAATTAACCCCAAAATCAATCCCATCATCGACCCTTTGTGATATGGAATCTTTTAGTACAATGTCAAAGAGATCCATACAATAACACACAAGTTATGTCTGGAAGTTACAAAAATGCTTATTTTCGGCCCCTTTTTGGCCCCTAATTATTTAACTGTTGGTACCATAACCCCCAAAATCAATCCCCACCTTCCTATTGTGGTATTGAACCTTATGGTAAAATTTCATAGAGATCCATTCACTTAAACTAAAGTTAGAGTGCGAAAACCATTGTGTATTCGGACGACGACGACGACGCCAACGTCATACCAATATACGACCACAAAATTTTTTTGCGGTCGTATAAAAAAGATTTGGTTAAAGTCATATGATATTTAAAATTTAAAAAAAAAGTTGGATATGTTTCATATATATATACTTAAATGGTTAAGTTTTACTATAAAACAAGTGTACATGGACTTTCTTGTTAAAAAATCCAAAATCTTATCAAAATTTTCAGAAATGTACTGCTAATGAATTATTTATTGTCTTCCTGTATCAAGTGTACTAGGTGAAAAAACCTCACAAAACACCAAAATAATCGTAACGTCATAGCATTGTAGGCTGTAAAATAATAACACTACAATAAAATGCTTCGCTGAGCACAGCCTGATACGACCGCAGAGGTCAAACCCTGGACAGTTGGGGCATATTTGGACACAATATTCAAGCTTGATACTGTCTGAATTTGGATTGTAATCAAATTTTTGACATAATATAGGTTTCTGACACAAAATAAATGTGGTCAAAGATCTTATAAATCCATTGCTCTATACTGTGCAATTGAAGATTTCTTCTTGAAACTTCAAAAATTCGAAATTTTAAAATTTTGAAAAAAAATATGAATCCCTTAAAAAAAAAAATTGGGAATAAAATCCCCCCCCCCAGAGTTCGCGAAAATGGTCGGTCCTGTCGGTCCTGTCGGTCAAAATGAGGCTCGGACCAGTATTTTGAAGGCTAGTGCCGGTCCCAATGACCGATGTAAAAACGGCCGTTGTAGTGCATATTTCAGCACTTTTTTACATCGGTTATTAGATGTACCGCAACTGTTTCCAATAAGTGTTTACATCAGTTATCAGATGTACCCGCTGCCAATTTCCGGTACTGGTTTACGGATTTATTATAAACAAACCAAAGCGGCGATCTACACGTGGCCTACTAAATTTGTTCATAGAGCCATCCCTGGTAAACAATCGGCGATTGAACCCTACAATGGAGCAAACAAATACTGTAACAGCCGAGAAAGTGATTCAGATGATGAAATGGATAGTGAAGATGACTTTAAATAAGAACAATCAGAAGACCTGAACTGGTCCTTCATTGTTAATTTGCCTGTGGGTGCGAAGAATAAAACTAATATTAATAAAGTTATTTTTCGATAAAATATGTTATTAATTTTATTTCAGGATAAAATTGACAGATTTTGTAGGACTGGCTAAAATTTTGTTGGACTGACAAATAATCGTGCTTTGTCGGTCCCATGACCGACGGGTCAAAATAAGTTTTTGCGAACTCTGGCCCCCAACTTTTTGAAACCCCCCTTGGAGCAATAACCCCAAAACTCAATCCCAGCCATTCCTTTGTAGTATGGAACCTTATAGTACAATTTCAGAGACATCCATACACTTACACACAAGTTATTGTCTGGAAACTAGAAAAATGCTTGTTTTTGGCCCTTTTTTGGCCCCTTATTCCTACATGTTTGGGGCAATTAACCCCAAACTCAATCCCAGCATTCCCTTTGTTATATGGAACCTTGTGGTACAATGTCAGCGAGATCCATACACTTACAAAATACACACAAGTTATTGCCTGGAAACTAGAAAAATGCTTGTTTTTGGCCCCTTTTTGGCCCTTAATTCCTAAACTGTTGGCCCCATAACCCCTAAAATGAATCCCAACCTTCTACTTGTGGTATTAAACATTGTGGTACAATTTCAGAGAAATCGAAATACTTATACACAAGTTATTATCCTGAAACTAGAAAAATGCTTGTCTTGGGCCCTTTTTTGGGCCCCTTATTCCTAAACGGTTGGGACCATCATCCCCAAAATCAATCCCAACCTTCCTTTTGTGGTATTGAACCTTCTTAAAAAATTTCATAAAGATCAATTCACTTAAACTTAAGTTATTGTCTGGAAACCAATGTGTCTTCGGACGACGAAGACATCATACCATTATACGATCCAAAAAAAATGTTTGCGGTCGTATAATTAGTAAATATAAATGTAATACACGTAATATATACACATATATATATCCCAAGCTTTAAAGCACCAAATATCTATATATATTTTTTAATTAATTTATAATGCAGATCACTAGTAGCATGATGAATGGGATTCTTGTAAACTGTCAAATATTTAGCATTTTCAAAACCATATGACCAAAATCAGGAAAAAACTTATGATTTTTATCGCAATTTATGAATTCACAAAAATTGATTCAGAATTGATATCACTAAATATCTAAGGTTAGAACATTTGTCTTCATCTGGAGCATGTATTAATAGAAAAACAAAGGATATCATATGGGATATCCATCCATGAAACAACAAAAAAACACACACAAAAAGCAAAGGAACAGCGCTTTCATTGCTGTTCTTCATCTTAAGTCATTGTCCATTATTTTTTGTAAGTTTGTCTTTTTCGGGTGATTATCTCCTTTGATGGATTATCTATTTTTTGAAGATAAACAATACAAGACATTCTTTGAGTCTTCACCATAAACATTTGTTTCCAAAACTGTAAGCTCAATTTTACTTTTTTTTCATTTTAAAGTTTTTTTTATTTAATTGGACAGTACAGGTGAATTTTACAATCCTTAGCTGCTGGGTCTGTGATTCAGCATGAAGACTACAGTTTACTATTAATTCATCATTTTCTTTTTAATCTGAATATAAATAAATTACATAAATAAATGAGTTGAATTTATTTAATATGAACTTATATTTAACTATTTTGGGTTATATTTCTGATAAAAAAAATTTCATCTTTAAAGGACCATCACATTTTACATCTGTAGTTATACAATCGACAATCAATACAAACAACAACAACTTTAATTTTTGCATTGTTTATCTATGACCATAAATTCAAAGACTATAACCATGCACTATCACCCACATTTACCATCAAGAGTGATTTTCAATTTGATTACCTTGTACCTTCTGCATATCAAAGCTAAGCAAAGCAGAATCAAATAAATTTACTTACTTGAGATTAATTTCCTCCTGAAAATAATTCAAAAGAAACAGCTGCAAAAAACATGATGCAAGATTCAATCTCAAAATGAGTTCACTTTTTTTTTATAAGATTAACAGAAAGTATTTAGTACATGTATATGTCTTGGAGAACACATAATAAGCTGAGTTCTTGCATTTCTGCCACTAAATACTGGAAAAATTCTTTTTTTTTATAATTTGTTCCACACAAACACTAGAATGTGGAAGAACCCAAACAATATAGGGTGAAACAAGAGTTCACATGCTGAAAGAATTGCCTGCTTCACTGATTATGCCAGAATTGTATGCTTAGTCTTTTAAATGAAGGTCCTACTGAAGGTTTTATGAATACTTCACCAAAGATCCATGAAAAAGGTCAAGGTCAGTTGAAACCTGTCAGATAGATAGACTTAATAACTTGACCTATTACTAACAGCACCTGTTTATGATATATTGACTATCGCCAAGGAAAAATTAAGGCAAATAATACTCTTAGCATATAACCCTGTATTTAAGGCTGTAAAACATAAGGCAAAGGAAACCTCATATATCTCAGCAAGTTAAGTTTGTGTAAAATAAACAGTCAATAAAGGGCTATTTACATTTATCAAGTTAAAAGAAAATGCTGTTGTAAAAATGATAGCCGCCCTAAAGTGCCCTTGTTATAGGAATGTGACCCTCTGCTCTCAGCTTCTCAGTCCAGGTTCTAGCTAGAACACTGAATTATGATCCACAACCAGGGGCTCTTTTCACAATAAAATCTAACAAAATTTATCGCAAGTTACACTGAATGTTCATGACTTAGAGTATTCTTTTTAATTTTTAAAGGGCCGTTCTCATACACAACAGTCTACTTAAAAGTGAAAAGGGGACATTATTTCTTTAAATCATAACTTTGCAATTAATCATTTTTTAAAAGACAATCCAGTACATGTTTAAATGTTTCTATGAAAACCTCATGTTCAGCATTGCTGTGACAGAGGGTTATTATTGTTTTCTGTATTCCATTGTATTCACAAAGGTTATCGGAATAAACATGAACTTAGAAATTAAACTCTTCAATTTTTGTGAAATGAGTCACAGATAGTTTACATGGGATAACTCCTCTCTTAAACCTTAAGCATCATGTCATACATTATTTTGTAGATAATTTAATGTAAATTTATGACATGACGAGGTTCAATGAGATAGACAACCGTGGAATCAAAATATAACAAACATGTGTAACCAAGTGTCTGCATTTCTCAAAAATGTGAGGTGGTTACCTTGAGTTATATTAAGGTTTAAGAGGTTAAAAAAATCAGAGACAAGTGTCTATCTTCGGAAGCAAGTTAACTCGTACCATTGTAAACTCGTACCACGTAAACTCGTACCAAAAAAGTTAACTCGTACCAACGTAAACTCGTACCACTGGGAAGTCGTACCAATCAGAATTTTATACTAGATTTTAATGAAAACTTAGACAAAAATACGAATGTTTTATGATTTTTTTTTTTTTTGGTAAACTTAATAAAAAAAGTTGAATTACTTGAATTTTATACTAGATTTTAATGAAAACTTAGACAAAAATACGAATGTTTTATGATTTTTTTTTTGGTAAACTTAATAAAAAAAAGTTGAATTACTTGAATTTTTTTACTAGATTTTAATGAAAACTTAGACAAAATTACGAATGTTTTATGATTATTTTTTTTAAGATTTATACAAAAAATTGAAATATCTTGGAATTATATACCAGATTTTAATGAAATCTTGGAATTTTATACCAGATTTTAATGAAAACTTAGACAAAAATACGAATGTAATTTCTTAATCACCATGCTAATTAATATATTAAATTCCTTTGATTGTGTGATTATTGGTTGATTATAAACTAATCAACTTGTTTAATCATATTATTAAATTTTGATTGTTGTTATATAATTTAACAGCTTGGAATTAAATGTATAATGTTTATTATTAAATGAAATTCCTGATTATCAAAACAAATTGGTCATTGTAATTTCAAATTATATACATTTTACAGATTTAAGAGGTATTGAGTGAAATTAAAGTATATATTCATCATGAAACACCATTTGAATGCATTTAAATAAGTTGGTACGAGTTTACAATGTTATGAATTTACCGTGGTACGAGTTAGCAGTGGTACGAGTTTGCATTGGTACGAGTTTTTTCTTAGTGGTACGAGTTGACATTGGTACGAGTTTACAATGGTACGAGATAACTATAATTCCTATCTTCAGACCCTATAATTTTTAAAAAATGAACCCTCGATCAACTTCAATATCGTATTATACTTTACATTAATTGCAGATTTACTGAGGTTGAAAGAATTCGTTGTTTTGCATAACTGTAACAACATGCATTAGCAATCAAACAATAATTATAGCTGTAAACATGCAGTTTGATGCAATCTTTGGGTTTTCTTTGTGATTTACCGTACAATATTTTCTTCTTGCAATATGAAACTGATCGGGATGTCCTGGTCGTGCTGAACTTAACCGGATATAATATCGGTTACACCTTATAACATAGCTGCTTATTTGTTTTGAGAGGTTGTACAATGTTTTCAGTGACATTTTGGAATTTTAAATTTACATAAAACTGACCAGTGAATGTCCTTGAATAGCTTTCAGGTCGATTGTTCTAGAAGCCGGTTATTTCCACACGTGCTGCGCAAAAACGAAAGTGGTTCTGGTTCCCAGTCCAGAATTTCATTTTCATTTTACAGTAAATTTTCCTCCTTGCTATTGGAGCACCCAGAGTCTCTGTGGAGCACCGATTGTTATTACCGTTCATAAAACACGATACGATAGCATTTTTAAACATAAATAAGTTAATTTATTTTTCCTGAACTGTTTAAACGCAATGATTTTAATAGTCTTTTTAAAACCTTGTCATTAGTTAATATTGTGCAAAATTTTAATATTTTTCAGGTAAAGTTTGATTCATAGAAATAAATAATGCTATCCTGATCTCTAATCCTGATCCTCAGGTTAATATAAATGGTCTCTTTGTGTTTGCTTGTTTCATCTTAGTACTATAGTTTCTCCGAGTAATGTCACACTGTACTGAGGTTAATTTGTTGGCACTGGCTACGGTAACATTGAAATGTAACAATAATAAAAAAAGTTATTGTTACATTGGAGACTAATTGCCGGAATGCACGGTTGGGTAAGGAACTGATTAATTACGAATGTAACAATAATTTAATGTGGACGGTTACGTTATGTTAACATACTGGATGTGTAGAAACTGCCATTGTAAATAAAAATTTAAAAAAATGTATGCAATATTGAAAATTCAAATAAAAGTTTTCAAGTTTTATTTGAATACATATTACTAGTCCCAGCATACATTGAAGTGAATTAACGTAACAATTACTCAAGTAACCGTAGACACAAATATTATTGTTACATTCGTAACTTATCGGTTTCTAACCCAACCCTGCATTCCGGCAATTAGTCTCCAATGTAACAATAACTTTTTTATTATTGTTACATTTCAATGTAACCGTAGCCAGTGCCTAATTTGTTTAGGCGCAGGATCGGGATTCTTCAGGGCTAAGTGCATCTTAAATATTCTCCTATAATATCCGCTGTTCTCTCGTATGTCTCTTTCTTTACTGGTGCTAGTAGGGTATGAAGATCTATTGGGATATCGCAGCCTGAAGCAGGCTTAAGCTGACCCATAAACAAAAATGTATACTAGTTCAGCGAAATGGACGCCACAATAAACTCCGAAACATACAAATGAACCAAAAATTTAAAAAAAACACACAAGACTAACAAAGGCTAGAGGTTCCTGACTTGGGACAGACGCAAACATGCGGCTGGGTAAACTTGAACATATTTTGTGAGATCTCAACCTCCCCTCCTGAGTCCTCCTATACCTCTATCCAATGTGGAATAAACAAAAACACAGCAAAGTGCACAGTAAAACTCAATTAAAAAGAAGTTCGAGTCCGATGTAAGAATAGGTAACAGAAGAAACTAGTAAGCAAAATGACAATGATCAACATAAAATAACATACGACTACTACGTTAGCAGGGGTGGGTCAAGGTGAGGGCGTAATGGGCGTACGCCCCCCCCCCCTCCCCCCTTTAAAAAAAAACCTATTAAATATACATGCTCCAAGTTAGGAACCGTTACATTAGTGCATTTCACAATTATTTTATGTTTTTTAGCAAAAAAAAGGTCCAAAAAATGTTTCACCTCGCTCCGCTCGGCAAAAGATTTTATTCTACGCCCCCTCTTTCAAATATCTTAGAAACGCCCCTGGTTAGCAGTAACTGACATGCCTGCTCCAGACCTCAATTAAACTGACTGAAAGACTACGTTTTCAGCATATGAAATTCAACCAACCGTTAGAGGTTTAGTATCATGACTTCATAAATTTTACGAGAAGAACATAACCCGCAGCATGCCAACAACTGGTTTTAGAATAAATGTGTTTATTTCCGAAGCAAAGACCCTATGAGTGAATCAATATTAATTCCAAAAAAATGCATATGTATATGATTGATACGATCGTGCCCCTAGTAAATCAGTGAAGTAATAGAGTTGACTGAGTTGATCAACTATGACACGATCGTATCGATTGAATACTATTGATACGATCGTGCTCCTAGTAAATTCAAGTAATTGAATCGATTGAGTTTATTAACCGTGGCACGATAGTATCAGTTGAATATATTGATACGATCGTACCCTTAGTAAATTGAAGTTTTATAATCGATTGATTAGATCAAATGTGGCATGATCGTATCGATTGTATACGATTGATACGATCGTGTCCCAGTAAACTGAAGTAATAGAATTGATTGAGTTGATCAACTGTGACACGATCGTATCGATTGGATATACGATTGACACGATCGATCGTGCTCCTAGTAAATTGAAGTACCGTAATAGAATTGAATGAGAACTATTTGTAAAGAATTGATTGAGTAGAAAAATAGAGCTGAATACAAATGGTTGCAAATACCCCACAACGTCCTACAACGTTACTTGAATGACTCGGATAGGCTATAGGATAGATAGTGTTTTCCATAAAGTGTCTTTTCAATCGATTGTCAAATACTGTACTGTACATTGTAAGACCTATAATGTTGTTGGTATACTTTAAAGGCTGATTCGAATTCACTCATCGACGGTGGTTTAAAATTAACAAAATGCAGAAAACATATCACATAAATTCAATTATATATATTCATAATTCTGACTTTTCAAGTGATACTACTGTCAAATTTTTAAATATTCAAGTGCCGTTTCAGAATCTAAAGGACCAAGGGTAATTGCGGCATTGCTTGTATCCCAAAAAGAATAAAACGTCACGTTTAATACACATGCATATGCTTTATATGGTACGGCATGTCTAAATATAGACTAGATCGGTACTTTGTTTTCTTTCTTATGTTAGTTGCACAGGCACTTGTCTCTGAAAAAAAAATTACCAATATACTTTAATAGGTTTTTTTTCATAGACAAGTGCCTGTGGTAAGTTGCATCATAGGTGGTTTATACATCTATGGTTGCATGTATTGTGCTTCGTGTTGATCTGGCTTCCAGGTCAGGAACCGGATTGCAAAAACTGAATGTGATTGGTTCTTCCAGAAAACTTTGCGCAGTGTCGGGCAACACAAAAAGTTCATTCTTGGCTATTTACATTGAAAATGTTCGCAATATTTTTACAATTAAAATTATGTACAACTGATGTTGCCTAGTTCCTTTCAGAGCATGGCTTTAGGGCATGAATGTGGGTCGTAATGTGGGTACCTTCATGACAAATAACGATAAAAAAAATCTTGCCAAATGACGATACAATGTACATTTTCTTTATGGCGATACAATGTACATTTTCTTTATGGCGATACAATGTACATTTTCTTTATGACGATAAAAAAATCGACTGATTTTGACGAATCACGTTAAACTTTTTTCCAAAAATTACGGTAACGGATAATTATTTGAGACCTCTGACGAATCACGATAAGGAATTTTTTACGAATCACAATAAAATTTTAACCAATTTCACGCTAACTGTAGCCGAAAATTACCGTTTGACGCCTGACGGTAAAGGGTATTCCTACCCTCCTGAATCCTTCAGCTGTGTTGGCCGATGAAACTGATGTTGGTAAATTGTTCCAATCCCTAATGGTCCTTAATTGAAAAGAAAGATTTTTTTTTCTATTTTTAAATCTTAATTTTAACAGGCAGAACAGCAATCTATTTTGTAGTATTCTATTTTCTATTGCGTATATTTTTCAATATTCACTAAGACATTTGTAGGGCGTGCGGCATCTTGTCAAGGTCAAGTGCTTGTGACCTGGGTACTCCGCTCCGTCGAGGGAGAACGTAGAGGAGAGGGAACCAGATTACGGAATTGTAACTTCCGGTCATTATAATTTTCGCGGATTTCCATGTTGATAGCTTTTTGGAGCTTTAGAAAATAACAGTGTGAGGATGTCAGACGAATCTTTAATAAAACAAGTTAATCAGGTAAAATTGGTGCAAATCGATTCACAAATTGAGAGTCATAATGTTTTAAGCGATTACTACGTGCAATATGGTGAACATGTTGTGAACGCAATTTTCCACAGCCAGGTAAATTGCCTTAATTCAATAATTGGGAAATTATGGACCCCCCTTTTTCTAAATAATATTTTAATAAATGTGTTTTAATTTTTTTGTGTGAATTTTCTGTTATATTTTTAGTACGTTCAAGTCCGATGTATCCGCGCAACTAAGACTTTTGGCTTCACTTTTGACAGTTTTGTAAATTCATATAACCAATAATCTGACATAACATCATACATGTGCTTGATAAATAAATTATGTTACTTCTTGATTTCTATTTTGTCTGATAATAATGATAATGTAAAAGATGATCATAAATTATGGCATAGTACATATTAATGCAACAATACACTAGTAGTTATTCACATTTTGAAAATATACAATGTATATATACCATAATTTGCGTAATGATCATATCTTTCTACATTCATGACATTATTTAGAAAGGTATGATCATGGTTCTTTGTATTATTTTATAAATTATTGTGAAAGAAATGAAACATTTTCGCATTTTGAGTAGCTTTATTGTGTCGAATTTAAATTTTTGGAACAATGAACTGTCCCATTGAAAGAATATAATACAGTACAACCTGTGACTTCCTCTTAATTATGTCCACCCTCTTGTATGGTCACCATCAAATGGTGGCCATTTATTGGGGTATTCAATCTTGAGATGATGGCCATTTATTGGGGTCATAAAAACATAGGTTGATGTTTTATCTAATTGTGTTACCTGTTGAAATCAATCAGGGTTGAAGTTTTCAGCTTGTATGTTTCATTAAAATTTACCTGTACAGGTAACTCAGATTCTAAAATTGACATTTCACCTTTTCTTGAAAAAGTAGATTCGAATGTTGATTTAGTCTTTGTTAATTCATATTATTTGTTGATTTTTAAATATTAATATATTTTCCTTTCTTTCCAATGTTTTTATTTTTTTTTTATTATATTTTTTTTATTTTTTTTTATTTTTGTTCTTTTAATTGCTTCTTGGTAAGAATCTTGAGTAGAAATGACAAAAAGTCAAGTTATTGACTAGCATGTGAAAACAAAACAGAGAATCCATAAATAATTATTTTTCAGTAAAAAAAAAGTTATTGTACATGATGTACATTACATTGTATTCAATTGTTCATTTGCATTATTAAATGAATTACAAAATGTATTATTAAATAAGTTATAATCATGCAAATGATAAGTTTAAAGGAACCATGAAGCAAGTTATATAAAAAGCCTGTTTCTTAACAAATTAAATTTATCAATATCAATACTTTTACAATAAATTTTGTTAACAAAGTTGTACAGTCTATTATTATTCAGCAAAACTACAAATATCATCATATAGTATAGGAAAACACTATTTTTGTTTATCTTTTATATTTTTCAAATCTTAAAACTGGAGACTTCAATTTTCCAAATGGCTACCTAGTTATCATCAAAAATGCTAATCATAATGAAATATGTTCTTATTTCTAAATAAAGTAAATCTTAGGACAAGAAGTTATTTAAAGAAAAAAAATGTCTTGCTTTTTGAAACAATTGTTTACTTATCAAATATGTTATCTTCAGTTTGGCTAATTTCTGTCTCCAGAAAAAATAAAGTACACTTCTATAGATTGTGGCATTTTTAGGGTCTATAAATTTAATCACTTTTTGTTCTGTGTATTATATTATCAAAACTGCAGGACTGGCATGATACATATTCTTGGTATACATTTGCAAAGAATATTTCACACAACCCAGGCCTTTTAGATAAAGTTAATAATTGCAGGGACTTGAATGAATTAGACTCTTTAAAGCCTTTGATTAAAAATGAATTTTAAGAACAAAACTAAGAATTTTTTTGAAAATAAAATAAAAACCTATGATGAAAACAGTAAACTCAAATGTAAGAATTAGTGGTCATAATTAAGAAATAGAAATTAGTGGATAAAATGTCTAGAAAGGATAAAACATGTAAACTGTGCCTCTTGCTGGAAGATGAAGAACACTTCCTCCTTGATTGTAAAATTTACATAATAACTTAGAGACAATCTATTTGAAAATTGTTTACCTTAATTCTCATGATAATGTCTCTTAACCAGGTTATGAATAAAATCTTACATCTTATAAAATCTTAACAAAGAACAAAAAGTAAAAGAAATGCTAAACCTCTATAACATGGAACATGTTTAAAATATTGGCTCCATTACCCATGTTATCAAATAGTCATTAGAACTGAGGGCAGAAACATATTTTTTTTCCATGTGTTTTGATTTCTTATAGAATTGTTATTTCTTTGCATTATATTGTTCAGTTTTGTATTTTTTTGTCACAAACTAATTATAATATGTTTATATGACAAAAATATTATCAAATTTTGCTGTAATGATTATTCTGAACATATTTATTAAATAGAGAAATAATGAATTACCTAAATTTTATTTAGAATAAGTCCTAAAGATAATCTTAAACATTTGTTAAACAATGTTGAATGCAGATCAGTCTCTCTAAGTATAAACAATTTTGATTTTAGAAAATTAATTTAAGAAGCACCTTTTCAATAGAAAAAGGCAGATCTATGTTTGCATTATATCAGAAGATGATAGACTGATATTCATTTATTCTTCACTTGCCAAAAAAAATACATGTAAAAAATTACTTACATGCATTGATCATGTTGATAGAATTATTTAAAAGGTATAACATCAAAAACAAACAGTCATGACAATTTTTTCAATATTTTTTTATCAAGCAATTTGTTCAACTAGTTTATATTTTTGAATTTTTATTTCATAATCACATTAACTAAATTTGACAAACACATATATTTTACCTGAGACACTTTACCTGTAAGTTATATAATTTTAACACTTCAATGCAGTCATGATTTCCCTTTATCCTTGACTAGTTTTTATACGACCGCAAAAAAATTTTGCGATCTTATATTGGTATGACGTCGGCGTCGTCATCGTCGTCGTCCGAAGACACATTAGTTTTCGCACTCTAACTTTAAAGTGAATGGATCTCTATGAAATTTTACCATTAGGTTCAATACCACAAAAGGAAGGTTGGGATTGATTTTGGGGGTTATGGTACCAACAGTTAAGGAATTAGGGGCCAAAAAGGGGCCAAAAAAAAGCATTTTTATACGACCGCAAAAATTTTTGCGGTCGTATATTGGTATGACGTTGGCGTCGTCGTCGTTGTCGTCCTGTGTCGTCCGAAGACACATTGGTTTTCGCACTCTAACTTTAGTTTAAGTGAATGGATCTCTATGAAATTTTACCATAAGGTTCAATACCACAAAAGGAAGGTTGGGATTGATTTTGGGGGTTATGGTACCAACAGTTAAGGAATTAGGCCCAAAAAGGGGCCAAAAATAAGCATTTTTGTAACTTCCAGACATAACTTGTGTGTTAGTGTATGGATCTCTCTGACATTTTACCACAAGGTTCCATATCACAAAGGGAATGCTGGGATTGATTTTGGGGGTAATTGCCTCAAAATATTAGGAATTAGGGGCAAAAAAAGGGGCAAAAAACAAGCATTTTTCTAGTTTCATGATAATAACTTGTGTGAAAGTTGTGTGAAAGTGTATGGATCTTTCTGAAATTGTACTACAAGGTTCCATATCACAAAGGGAAAGCTGGAATTGAGTTTGGGGGTAATTGCCCGAAACATTAAGGAATAAGGGGCCAAAAAGGGGCCAAAAATAAGCATTTTTCTAGTTTCCAGACAATAACTTGTGTTCAAGTGTATGGATCTCTCTGAAATTGTACCACAAGGTTCCATATCACAAAGGGAATGCTGGGATTGATTTTTGGGGGTAATTGCCTCAAAATTTTAGGAATTAGGGGCCAAAAAAGGGGCAAAAAACAAGCATTTTTCTAGTTTCATGACAATAACTTGTGTGAAAGTGTATGGATCTTTCTGAAATTGTACTACAAGGTTCCATATCACAAAGGGAAAGCTGGAATTGAGTTTGGGGGTAATTGCCTGAAACATGTAGGAATTGGGGGCCAAAAAGGGGCCAAAAAACACATTTTTCTAGTTTCCAGACAATAACTTGTGTTCAAGTGTATGGATCTCTCTGAAATTGTACTGCAAGGTACCATACCACAAAGGGAAGGCTGGGATTGAGTTTGGGGGTGATGAATCATAAGGGTGTTCAAAAAATTTGGGGGGGGGGGATTTTTTTTTTTTCCTTTTTAGCTCACCTGACCTGAAAGGTCAAGTGAGCTTTTCTCATCACTTTGCGTCCGTCGTCCGTCGTCCGTAAACTTTTACAAAAATCTTCTCCTCTGAAACTACTGGGCCAAATTTGACCAAACTTGGCCACAATCATCATTGGGGTATCTAGTTTAAAAAATGTGTCCGATGACCCCGCCAACCAACCAAGATGGCCGCCATGGCTAAAAATAGAACATAGGGGTAAAATGTAGATTTTGGCTTATATCTCTGAAACCAAAGCATTTAGAGCAAATCTGACATGGGGTAAAATTGTTTATCAGGTCAAGATCTATCTGCCCTGAAATTTTCAGATGAATCGGACAACCAGTTGTTGGGTTGCTGCCCCTGAATTGGTAATTTTAAGGAAATTTTGCCGTTTTTGGTTATTATCTTGAATATTATTATAGATAGAGATAAACTGTAAACAGCAATAATGTTCAGCAAAGTATGATCTACAAATAAGTCAACTTGACCAAAATGGTCAGTTGACCCCTTAAGGAGTTATTGCCCTTTATAGTCAATTTTTAACCATTTTTCGTAAATTTTTGTAATCTTTTACAAAAATCTTCTCTGAAACTACTAAGACAAATTTAACCAAAATTGTCCACAATCATCATTAGGGTATCTAGTTTAAAAAATGTGTCCGATGACCCTGCCCGCAAACCAAGATGGCCGACATGGCAAAAAAATAATACATAGGGTAAAATGCA